AAAAGAATAATAAAGTTACGATCTGTCATTACAATGTATCCAAATTTTCCCATATACACAGTGTACTCTGCGGCCAGCTGTACGGGATCTGTAGGAGGGGGGGGGGGTCCCTGGAAATGTCCCTGACTGCTGTTCTATCAAAGTTTGTGACTTCGTTAGAATGTGTGACCGGTCACGTGGTCACACATTTTGCCGTAATCCCGCCCAGTTTTTCGGCGGTGGAATGTGTGACCGCCAATAGGTGAAGAATTCCTCAGCTGATCGGCAGCGATTATGGTAATGAGAGATGCAGAATTACAAAGATTGAAGTGACATTATTGCTGTAAAGCGAGGACAAGATTTTGGGGTCATATTTACTGTAACGGACGGTTTCCTCCAATTGCCGCGCGTGCATGTGATCCAAAAACATACTTCGGCCTTCATCCTCCATCTGTCCGCGTGGCCCCGCCCTGTGCTGGACGCGCTGATGAAAGGGATAACTACTTGGACCCGCGTAGTATATATTATACAATGTATCAGTTTGTATCCTCTCACCTCTCCGTGTCTCTGTCCCCAGTACATGTCGGGATTCGGCAACGAGTTTGCCTCGGAGGATCCGCGCTGCCCAGGTGCCTTACCTGACGGACAGGTGAGTCCCCATCACATGACACCTAGAGGAGCCGAGGACTACAATGTAACTGGACGACTTCCCGGATACGCCTCCATCATGTGACTGCACCGTCCAACCGGATCCCACTTCTCTGCCCCGCCCCTCATAATAATATTGTTATTTCTTTATATAGCTCTGACATATACTGCAGCGCTGTACAGAGGACACTGAGCCAGTCACACCAGTCTCTGTACAGAGGAGCTTACACTCTAATGTCCCCCCCACAGTCACATCAGTCTCTGTACAGAGGAGCTTACACTCTAATGTCCCCCCCACAGTCACATCAGTCTCTGTACACAGGAGCTTACACTCTAATGTCCCCTCCCCCCACAGTCACATCAGTCTCTGTACAGAGGAGCTTACACTCTAATGTCCCCTCCCCCACAGTCACATCAGTCTCTGTACAGAGGAGCTTACACTCTAATGTCACACGCACTCCATAGGCTGGGTGGGGTCAGGTGTCTATATGTCGGAGGGTCACTATGTCCATTGTCTGTGTTGCAGAATAATCCCCAGGTCTGTCCGTACGGTCTGTACGCCGAGCAGCTCTCGGGCTCCGCCTTTACCTGTCCCAGGAGCTCCAATAAGAGAAGGTATCTATGACGACCCAATGCGATGTTCTCTCCTCATTCTGTAATCTGATCTATAGAACTAAGTGATGGCCCTGGGGGCGCATAGTGCATTGTCCTAACCCCCCCCCCCATTTCATTTCAAGACCCGGGAACTCAGCACAGGGATGGGGGGAGCTCCTCATAATGGGCACAGCGGGTGTACAGACCCGGGAACTCAGCACAGGGATGGTGGGGGCCCCTCATAATGGGCACAGCGGGGGTACAGACCCGGGAACACAGCACAGGGATGGTGGGGGGTCTCCTCATAATGGGCACAGCGGGTGTACAGACCCGGGAACTCAGGGATGGGGGGGGCCCCTCATAATGGGCACAGCGGGTGTACAGACCCGGGAACTCAGCACAGGGATGGGGGGGGCCCCTCATGATGGGCAAAGCGGGTGTACAGACCCGGGAACTCAGCACAGGGATGGTGGGAGCTCCTCATAATGGGCACAGCGGGTGTACAGACCCGGGAACTCAGCACAGGGATGGTGGGGGCCCCTCATCATGGGCACAGCGGGTGTACAGACCCGGGAACTCAGCACAGGGATGGTGGGGGCCCCTCATGATGGGCACAGCGGGTGTACAGACCCGGGAACTCTCTGGTCTACTGACCTCATATACAGGCCCCGATGCAGCTGGTGTCCGGTAGGAGTCGGGTATACTCATTCCTCTCCTCTGACCTGATATCGGTGTTTTGTCATTCAATGTTGGCAGCTGGCTGTACCGTATCCTTCCTTCCGTCCGCCACAAACCCTTCCAGCCGTACCAGCAGAACAACCTGACTCACAACTGGGATGAAGTGGAACCGGATCCCAATCAGGTACTATGGCAGTGGACATGATGGACCAGTTATTGTATGCGGCTGAAGCATGAAACCAATAAAACTACCCGTGTGTGAGCCGGAGCTTCCTATTGGCTGCACCAGCTACACAGGCTAGGGTGACCGGGCCAATGAGAAACGTCACCTACATGCAGGGCCGGTGATAGACTATCTTGCACCCTAGGCAAGACCAGCTACTTGCACCCCCCTCCCTTGACGCAACCCCCAATCCCCCACACACACACGCAGCCCCATTCTCTTGCGGGTTAGCTTCTGCAGGTGACAGGTGGATGTATTTTAACTTGAAATAGCCAATAGCAGACTGGCTATTGAAACCCCGCCCACTGAGCAGAGGAGCGAACCTGAGAGAGAAAGTTGTCTCTCCATTCCGCTCCTCTGCTCAGTGGGCGGGTGCAATAGCCATGCTGCTATTGGCTTTTGCCATTTGAAATAGACGGGGGGGGGGGG